GTACGTGGCTGGTGCCTCAGCCGGTTGAGCCACAGGCGCCGAGCCGGCAGTAATATTTCATAGGTGGTTTCTTTCCTTCCTATTATATCTATCTCATCAGGAGGCACAAGATTATCAGTTACTCTCTTCTTACTAATCCTGAAATTGGTAGGTTATGTAAAAATTTTGGCAGTGACTACTGATCATAGCCTAGATCTTTTATTTTTTTTCCTTTCCCCAGAGACAAGGTATCTGTTTGTCCCCCAGGCTGGAGTATGATAATAGTGCATTGCAGCCTCTTGGGCTCAAATGATCCTCCCATCTCAACCTTTTGAATAGATGGGACTAGAAGTGTGTACTGCCATACTGGCTAATTTTTTAAAAAAATTTTTAGAGATGGGGTTCTTGCCATATTGCCTAGGCTGGTCTTTAACTCTTAGGCTCAAGTGATCTTCCCACATTAGCTTCCCAAATTGCTGAGATTAGAGGCATGAGCTACCACAGCCAGCTAAATCATTTTTTTTCATTTGGGCATGCAAAATAGTTATATCCTAATTCTCTAGTTCTCTTTCCTTTTATTAATTATGATTCTTTTGTAAAAAAACATATTGTCTCTCATCAGTCTTAAGGCTGTTTTAAAATAGTTATTTCAGGAATAGCATCTTTTTTTTTTTTTTTTTTTTGAGACAGAGCCTCAAGCTATCCCCCTGGGTAGAGAATGTATGTGACGGGACATGAGATAGAGGCTGGAACAGAAAAATAGAAGCTGAAAGGATAGCTAGTCCCTCTCTTAAAGGGGCTTAAAGACATGATTTTATCCTGGGGACATTGGGAAGCCACTGTATGGTTTAACATAGGGTATGACATGATTAGATACACAATTGGTGTGTACAGAAAGTCCAATAATAGTACATTTGTTCTCTTAAAGCTAGGCACATAGTTCTTAGATTTAGCTTGTGAGTATCCATGTGTAGGTGCTGCCCACTCCTGGGAAACATAACAACACAGGTTGACTAAAAAACAAAGGCTGCCCTTGATATAGCTGAAAGTCCTGCACCACTGCTTTTTCTTCCTGGGTCTTTGTGTTTTCATGAATACATCCTCTGAGCCTTACTAATTCTGTGCTTTCTTCACTATTACCATTATTATCTTCCTTTTATTACAGGCATTTCTACTGCTTATCTCCCTTTTCTTTCATCTGTAGTTAAGGATATCACATTTCCAATACATGCAGTTTTTTCAGGCTTAGGTTGGGCATGGTGGCTAATGCCTATAATCCTAGCACTTTGGGAGGCTGAGGCAGGAGAATCCCTTGAGCTCAGGAGTTCCAGATAAGCCTGAGCAAGAACAAACTCCTTCTCTACTAAAAATAGAAAAAATTACCTGGGCATCATGGCAGGTGCCTGCAGTCCTAGCTATTGGGGAGTTTGAGGCAGGAGGATTGCTTGAGCCCAGGAGTTTGAGGTTGCTCTGAGTGAGGCTGATGCTGTGGCACTCTAGCCTGGGTGACAGATAGGCTGTGTCTCAAAGGAAAAAAAAAAAGTCTGCAGGGAGACTCTAGGTTTAGTCCTGTTCCTCACCTTATTATCTAAGGTCTAGATAATAACCAGGCATTCCTCCAGTAAGTGAGAAATACTGATTCCTTAAGAATTGGCAGATGCCAAAGAACGTGAAGGCTATTTGCAACTCTTAAAACAAATGCCAATTCCACCTTCTATCTTTGGAGATCACCATGCAGTGCTGATGAACTTCTAATTGGAAATATGCTCTAAAATAAACAATATGCTGCAAATATGCTCTAAAAATAAACAATAACTTACCAAGAATATTAGAGAACAACCAAATCAATTACTAGAAATTATCATGGAAAACATATTAAAAACTCTAAGTCAAATGTCATTTAAATAGTTCAGATTGAATAATGTCTACTTTGTGAGAGAGAAACTATACCTTCGGTGTCCTGAGAATTAGGCAGAGGATTTATTGCAGAGGCCTGACTGGGACCCAAAGGCTTTTGGACTGTCAGACCTACCAAAGATTATCTTTTTTTTTTTT